GCATATGTCGGAGTGAACAGGAATGACTGGATCTGGTGGCCCATTGGTTGAGTCCAGTCCCCGTAGCCCGGCACATTCCTGACCTCCTTCTGTCTCCCCATGCATAAGCTCTCCCCGCTCATGAATTATTCATCGGATCCTTCCAAATCCCGCCAGTTGGCCTTATTCACATGCGTAAATATTGCTTAATTAGAAATGAACAAGCCCTATATTGGCCCTCCTAAATGGGCATCACGCTCTCATTGGTGTCAGGTGTCTTATGTGCTGTTGATGTTTCTCTTTTACCTCGCAGCGACAAAAGCCAGACATTTTGTGTAGTGAGGAAAGGGGAAAACGTGTTTTTTATTCAGTTCGCTTAACATAAGATGCCTAATTCCTGCATGTCGGAATGTCTTCTAAGGAAAAGCTGTCTTTTGTTGAGCGAGTGCCTACACTTAGCTCAGCGGTTCGTACTGAGAGCCACAATGTTTTGATGGAGCAATTAATCACGACGGTACAAGGATGTTTCTCAACGTTCCTGCTGAGATGGCGAGCATACCGTGGTGCACAGAGAAGGTGCCAATCTCAGCGAACAAAGAAATTCAGCACTTGTTCTTAAAACTCACACCTCCCTTTAGTCAAAATCTATGAGTTACAATACCATTTGGCTCAATTCTTTGGACTTAATGATGAGACGCATTCTCGCACACGTGGAAGTCAGATTGTGGTTAATCATCCGAGTCTGTAGCCAAGCGAGAACAAAACTGGGCCGCAGAGTTTTAGGCACCACCACTCCTGAGGGTTTGTCATCTGATTTTGTCACACAATCCAGTTTTGCACATTTAAAGGGTTCACTCAAAAATGAACATTTACCCAAAAATGCTGTTCCAAACCTCCATTATTCTTTTTTTTTCTTCTGTGAAACAAACTTGAATGTTTTAACTGTTTTAACCCATCCATACAATGAAAGTCAATGGGTACCAAATAACATAGAACCCCATTAACTTTCATTGCATGAAAAAAAATGCAGAATTTATTAACATATTTGTGTTCCACATAAGAAATAAAGTCAAATGTTTCAAACAAAATGAGGGTAAATTATGACACAATATTAGCTTTTTTGGGTTAACTCTCCCTTTAAATTTCAGTCTTTTCTTCACACAAAGCTATCATATGACTTCAGAATATAGTGCATGAGTCATATGGACTATATGGTATTTTTGTGCATTTTTAAAGCCTAATTGTTGTTGTATGAAAAAAATGTGACAATTCCTTAAAAAATTCTCACTTTGTCTTCTACAGAAGTAAATACCAGCATACAGTTACAAAACGGTATCTTTACACAAAGCTAACGTATGACTTTAGATATCTTAGTCTTAGAGTATAGTGCATGAGTTATATTCATTATCATTGTATTAAAAAGAACTATGTGAAGATTCCCTAAAAATCTCATTTTGTCTTCTACAGATATACATAATTCTGGAATGAAATAAGGGTGAGTTCATTTTTGGGTGAATTATCCTTTTAAATTTTAGTCTGTTCTTCACACAAAGCTACAGTATGACTTTAGTAGACTTTCAAATTTTTTTGTACATTTTGAACCCTGATTGTCATTGTATGGAAAAGAACTGTGAAAATTCACTAAAATGTATCCTTTTGACTTCTCCAGACGTAAATAACTGCATACAGCACTCTTGGATGACATGAAAGTGAGTAATTGACAGGGTTTTCATTTTTGGGTGAACTATGCCTTTAAATTTCATCCTGTTCTTCACCCAAAGCTTCAGAATACTTAGAATATAGTTCATGAGTCATTTGTTGCTTTTTATGCTGTTTTTGTACATTTAAAGCCTGATTGTCATTGTATGGAAAATAACTATATGAAGATACCCTAAAATGCTCCTTTTGTCTTCTCCAGAAGCAAATAAAAGCAGCGTTCTGGAATAACATGAGGGTGAGTAAATAATGATAGGATTTTCATTTTTGGGTGAACTATTCCTTTAATGCAACAATGAACTTCATATGAAGCCTGTGATTGGAAAACAAAGTATCACAAGATAATAATTTATCAGTAATCTACATAGAACAATGATACAGTGACAACAAAGAACCTCATTAACTCACGCACACAACTGGTTCTGTAATTCTATTGTGCGGTTCTGATTGTGTTCATCCCAATCGTAATTCAGCTGTAAAGCAAAATTTTTGCCAGTCTTTTTTTTTGGAGGATGCAAGCTTAGCTTGCGCATGTAATCCCCCGCTGTGTGTACATTAATGAGGAAAAAAAATTAACTTAAATGATTTTAGCAAATGGCTGCAATATAACAAAGAGTGAAAAATTTAAGGGGGTCTGAATACTTTCCGTACCCACTGTATATATATATATATATAAATCTGAGTGTGTAATTGTCATTACTGACTTTTTTCTAAAAATGCAGCAGAAATTGCACTATATTCTAAGTCTTTGTGCAATCTGTGCATTCTTTGTGCAATTTTGTGTCGGTGAATAATTACATAAATTTTGGTCTGCTTGTCCCACAGAGCTATCGTATGCTTCAGAAGACTTGGAATATAGCAGCTGAGTCTTATTTTTGAGCTCGAGTTGTGGTAAGAAAGTTGCATTAAGATTCATCTGTATTTCTCTTGTGTTCCACACACACAGCTTACAGATTTGGGTTTGCTTTTTGGGTGAACTGTAACCTTTCTATTTGGATAAATTCTGTTCTCCGCAGAGATGATTTTGTGATAAAGCTTTTTCTCGTTAGACACACACTGATGCTGATACTATGAGACCATCTGAATGCTGTGGCATATGGTCCCGTGATGTTTGCTATAGTGTGTATCCCTGCACAGACACTGTTTACTCTCAGTGAGTGATGAGATTCCATTAAGAATGGCTACAGAAACGTGAAAAAATTTAGCTTTGCTTTATTATAGTAGACTCTCTCTCCTGCATATCAATGTTCTCCAGCACCTGCTACAGGGGACAAAATGGGAACCTGTCCATTGAATTTTTATTCGACCAATAATAATCTATGCCCTTTATATACTACAATTACAGTTTTCTTTGTTTAACATGTTTTCTTTTCAGAGCATAACAATATTACAACATGAATTTCAGTTGATATATGAGTTATTTATATTAAATTACTACTTATGCACTAAAACCATTTTAGTTTAAAAATGCTAAAAGCATTTTTTTCCCCCCAATATAGTAATACTGCTGATATTTATTGCTTTATGGTAATGATTTTGGGGTAAAATGTGCTTAATTGTCATGAAAATAATGACATTGCACACAGAAAGCTTAATTTATCAATTTCACAACACTGTTTCTAAAAATGCTACATAAAATGCACTATATTTCAAGTGTTCTGAAGCCATGCGATATGAGACTGTGTGATTATCAGTGAAAAAATGACAAATTTTGGTCTGTTTGTCACACAATGTTATCATATGGCTTGATAAGGCTTGGAATATAGCGCATTTCAATAGTCTATTTGAATAAATTCTATTCTCTGGACAGGTGATTTTGAGATAAAGCTTTTTCTCATTAGACACATGCTGATGCTGATTCAATGACACCATCTGAATACTGTAGCATATAATTTTTAATATTCATGCATTCGTTCATTCATTGTTTTTCAGAATTGAATTATGACCTAAACAGGAAATAAAGATCTTAAGATTCACCCATTAGGAAATATCAGGCAACTTTGGAGTACTATTTTCAATGTCCTGTGATTTGGGACATACAAAATCTTTTCTGGCACACTGTTTAGACTAGTATGCGAGTTGGGACGCAGCAATGATTTAAAAACAGCAGCAGCTTTGCCAAATCCGCTTGTCTGTTAAGCTAAGCCCAGGAGAGCTTGCACAGTCGACACAATGGCCCAGACATATTGGTGCTAACTTCAAAAACGCCTCGCAGAAAGACAGACAGACAGGAACATGCAGTACTAAAGCCAAAGCGAACACTGCCAGCCAGAAGTAACACTTCCAACGACGGCCCACAGCCACGTCAAAGAAACTCAGTGTTTGTGGCGGGACTGTACGGGTGATTGACGACAGACGTATCTCCACCTCTCCCGGGACTGTCTCTCATTCCATGGGACCTGTTAACCATGATCTCCAAAACTGGAGAGGCAGAGTCTGTGTGGGGGGCTTGTCTTCTTTCGGCCCCCATAACAACAGCCTGTGCACTCTAATTAAACAACAGATTACAGAGAGCCACCGCATGCGCTGCCATTGGGATGCACCAAAAAGAGGGAGAGAGAGACTTCCAATGGGTGAAAATGAAACCGTTGCCCCTGCACACATAACTCAGTGGAACTGAAAAGTAAATACGAATCCCATTTACAAATTATTATCATGTATATTTGTGCTCCATTAAGTCCCGTGGTTCCTTAAGGCCTTACTGTTAGCATACAGGCAGCTGTAAGGCTAGAGAATGGCTAGAAGCTTTAAAAAAAAAAAAAAACATACCCATGATGATGTGCAAGGCTGCAGTCATAGCCCGTCTTATTCCATGCACAGAGCAGGCCACCACATTGGTAGAACCTATATATAGACAATAAAACACATTTTAACACGCTTTAATAGTTTATTGTGATCAAACCCCAAAACACACTGAAAAAACCAAAAGAGTATGAATTATAGACTTAATATTGTCTTAATGATCCTACAATGTGACATAAAATGTCTTGAAACAATGACAATGTTGGTCTGTTTGTCACATAAAGTTGTTGTTCAGAAGATTTGAAATACAGTGCATGAGTCTTATATATATATATATACAGTGGGTACGGAAAGTATTCAGACCCGACATACAAAATCTTTTCTGGCACACTGTTTAGACTAGTATGCGAGTTGGGACGCAGCAATGATTTAAAAACAGCAGCAGCTTTGCCCATCTAATGAGTGAGGTAAAGTTAATCATTACAGGATGAGGACTTTGTTAAAGGGCATTAATTTAAGTTAATATCGCCTTGTGCCAATTAAGGTGGTTTACCTTGCTGGCAGCTTGTGAAGGGAGAACAGGTGTGTGTATTTGTACTGATTACTACCAGAGACAAACAGCAGAGAGAGGCTTGTCCTTGTCGGGTGAGTAGGCATTTCCTTTCATGCAGTTATCTGGCCAGTGTGTTTGCTCAGATCAGCAGGGTATGAAAGCAAATGTCTGTAAATGAGAACAGGACGGAGGTGTTGGACGGAACCGTTCCCTCCATTTCTGACGATAGAGACGGCCAGGCCTACAGTGCTGGACACACACTCACACTCCAACTGAATTTGGCTGCAAGTACATGTGCCTCTTCCCACCTACCAGGTCACTGGTAATGTAGCCCTCCCTCACAAACACATCCATGATGCTTCCTGGCCTCTCTGGGAGTTTCCATATGTTGTGATGATTTCAACACAAAAGCCAGGCTCTGAGCCTCGGCTCAGTAAAGGTAACAGCGTCTGACGGACTGAGTTCCAAAACCTAGTGAGCTGCTGTACTGTCTACTAGCTACTAGTCATTTTGTTTACTTGAGTACTCAACAGATTAATCAGATGAGTACATCCTGTATGCGTCAGACATGGCATTGTATCATGAGTCGTGACTCACAGTTTTTTCTTTGACATAAGGCATTATGCTTTATTATGAAGACTTGTTGGTAAACTCAAAGACACTCAGAAAATGAGTATCTCTGAGCTTTCTGCAGAATAGATATTTGCCCCATATTAAATTAATAAATTGGTGTTTTTGTGTTCACTCACCTATTTGTTTTTAAAAAGTTCAGTGGTAATTGATATAATGGACACAGTAGGCCTTTGAGTGGATTCCATTCAAATGCTATTTGAGTATCGTGATATTTTCATGACAATTAATCACATTTTTATTTCATTTATGCTGCCTTTAAAAAAGTGTCCATTTTATTACAGTGTCTGTAAGAATGTAATAATTATTAATTTATCGTATTGTGATAATGAGGATTTTAGACTTTTGGGGATTTATTTATTTGCATTTTTATTTTTATTTAAAATACAATTAAGATAATTTGCACATTTTACTGTATATATTTTTCTGTTCAATGTAAAAAATATCCACCTACTTAAAAATGTAAGTTCAGTTGCTGCCTCAAATTTTTTAAGTATAATCACAATGGCTATACAAGTAATTTTGATTTATATTAAACTCACTTTAAAAAATGAGCTGAAATTGGTTAAATTATTTTGATGAGTTAAAGTAATGGAAAAACATATGTTACCATGACATATTGATCACATAATTTTTTTACAGTGTATTGTATAAAGTATATTTAGTATCTTCCATCTTTGTTTGTTTTTTTTCGATGGACAGACGATTATTTGATTCTTTGACCGAAAAGAAATTAGAATTTGGAATCAGAATTTGGCTTAATGAATGTACAATTTCTTTCCTTTTGACACAGCCTACAAAACAGGAGCATGCATATCCTTAAAATACTGCTTATGTAGGCAGCTCGCTGTAGGTTTTGGAAGAGAGCTGATATCATTCCCCATCATAAACGCAAGCTGTGGCTTTAGCAGAGTGAGTCCTGCAGGGATCAATTCTGGTGCAAACAATAGGCGTGTGAAAAACTGTAATATAAGGAGTGCTTGGTCTACCGCCAATTAAAAGAAATATAATGAATGCGGTTACTTAACAGTCTCGGTGAGTGTGATATTAAAAAACTCATTATCTTAATGCTAAAATTACCATTTCTAACAGAGATCTCGTAAAGCCCACTTGAGGTTCGCCGAAGTGTTATTCTATGTTGTATGTAAGACAATGGTTGTTTTTTGGTGTTTGACATTGATCGTTTTGTTGTTTGGTGGTGTCTGTAGCGCTGCTGCCGTGTGGTAACACTATATTCCAAGCATGCATCTGCCTCTCCCGCAAGGCTCAGAGCAACAGCCTGTGCCAACATCATCGGGAGTTCCATATATTACCCATCTCCATTCCAGAACCCGGTGACGAATGGTAGTAGCGCCCAGATATTAGAGTGGGAGGGGGCGAATAGGAAGGAAGGGGGCTTTGAAAGAGGGAGATGTGGGGGAGAAAGCGAGAGAGAGAGAGAGAGAAATTGTCCTTGGAAGTGCGAGCACTTCTGTAGAACAATTAACCTAATTAAGCAGACAGCATGAATATGTGGGGGAGAAAGCGAGAGAGAGAGAGAGAGAAATTGTCCTTGGAAGTGCGAGCACTTCTGTAGAACAATTAACTTAATTAAGCAGACAGCATGAATATTCATAAGGCAGTTAATGTCTCCCTCATCCAGGCAGATGAATGTGATGCAATGACTCGCTAGTCAAGCATGTCTAAGAGTCTCGTGGAAACTGCACCAACATTTTGGTTCTTTGCCTGGAATATCAAAGAAATTAACAGTCCCCCTGAAACCCTTAAAAGCAGGCAAATTAATTAGAAGCCTGCAATTTATATGCTATACGTACTGAGGAGTAGGCTACATACTATGGTGCAGTGAGAAAGCCTTTAATTGGGCAGGGCGCTGCACTTTGGTATGTTTATCCTGCATTGTGTAAATAAGGTCTTTGAAACACTCTTTGTAATTAGTTTAATCTTTCGAAAAAGAAATACTTGAATGTTTGTTCAACTTGACTGTGTTATGAATACTGACAGAAAGGGGCATAAAAATGACAAATTAAAGCGTTAAAGAAGCTTGTCTGTTTTCCAGCTAAGATAATTAGACATCAACTTGGCTGCTATATGAGGGCATTTCATGTATATTTTATTGATGTGCACATGGTAATTACTTGCGGTAAATCACTATAGTTGATTCAGGTTCTTTATTGGCATCAATGGTTCCATGAAGAACTTTTAACATCCATGGAATCTTTTCATTGGACAAAAGGATCTTAAAGATTCTTTATAGAGGAGAAAGGTTCTTTAGATAATGAAATGTTCTTCACACTAACAAAAAAATTGTTCTTTTGAGAACTGCTCCCAAAAGGTTATTTGAGGAACCCAAAATGGTTCTTCTATGGCATTACTGAAAAAAAAACTCTTTTGGAACTTTTGTTTTAAGAGTGTAGATTTATTAAAATGTTATTCACACCAAGAAAATAAAGATTCTTTCAGAATCTGTTCACTGAAAACTTCCATGGTTCTTCTATGGCTTCACTGTGAAAGCCCCCTTTTGGAATCCTTTATTTTTAAGAGTTTACATGGGTGTTTTTGCAAAGTTGTAACCGAGAGAGTGATTTGACTCCATTTCCTCCATCCCTAAGGATTGACCTGGGTCTGATGTCACATCCAAACCTGCGCTGGAAAACGGCAGAGGCAGGGGGTCTTTCAACCCCTTGCAACTCTTTCAACCCCTTGGGGGCCCCTTGCATTTGTGACGGGAAACTGTTTATAAATACTCCCGTGGGATTCGGCACTAATGAAGAGAAAGCGTGACCCTGGTACGGTCAGTTTGCAGTGAGTGCGGAGTTGGAGGGCTTCCACTGCTCCTAACAACAGCACTCCATTTTGCTGTGCCTGAAATGACAAGTGAAGGTCAATCTCTTGGCCGAAAAAGTAGGGACCGCTACCGTACCCATCTACCCTGCTCTCCCCTCCTCTTCCCACCCCAGTTTGCCAGCTTTTTGGGGTTGGTTTGCGCCACATTCCCGCAAAAAGAGAGAATTTTTGAGGTTAGTCAGTCCTGTGTGAGTGTGGACAATGCGCAGGGCTTTGTGCCACTGATCCAAAGCCAGTGGAACCGTTTCAAAGGCAGCAAAGGAGAGTCAAATGGAGGATGCTCCATTTCAGACACTCTTGAAGGCAATTAACTCAGTGTGTGAGTGGGCCATTCAGAGGCCTGACTGTGATTAAATCAATTTGATAATGATACACTCACTTGCTGCTGTTATGAGCTGCCTGTTTGTTTTCGGTAGAGGAGTTTCAGAACACGATCAAACTAAATCATTCTGACAGCACAGAAACTAGAGACCGAAATTACTACAGAGTTCGATTTTTAATTGGCAGCACGCCTCTGATTGTTTTAGTGCCGGAATGAAGCATAAAAAGTCACAGGCTTTACCCACAAGGCTGTTGCTATACATTATCATATTTTACTACTAGTCATATTTTGACATGCTGTGATTATCAATTATAGGTTTTATTTCAGTTTCCTCATTTAAATACCTCATGAAGGTACTTAAGTACCTCAAAATTGTTCTGCAGCTTTGAGGACATGTTATGCTAGCGTTTGTATTAATAATTTATTTATTTAAAGTTAAATAATAAACATAAAAAAATACAAGTTATAAAAAAATTACAGATTATACAAGTAAAATTGGTTTTGATCTAATAATATAAACTATTAGTAGTAGTAGTAGTATTAGGTTGTACATTAAAATATATATTTTTTCATTTAGTTATGTATTTATTTGGCGAAAATTACCTTTTTATTAAATACTTTTTTTACTAAAAATATTTAACAGATTAGTCACATAAAATTGGTTTAAAATTAATAATACAGTATTATAACACGTAATTAACATATAATTAATGAAAATATACATACAATATATAATTTATATTATGATTATTATTTTGATATTTTTATTTAATTTATTTCATTAAAAAAAATACAGATTATGGAAGTATTTGCTTTAATATTCTCATGTGCTTCTGAAACATGTTATTTAACAAGAATAACCATTGGGAATTTGTATTTTGGAAAGTGGGTGTTACGTACTAGAATAAAGCCAGGTGGTTTGAGGGGGAGGGGTTAAAGATTTGGTTTTGTGACCTCATCCGGTAAAAAGCTGGAGATATGTTGATATAAGTTCACAAAGACAAACATTTGTTTACTTTCAGAATAACGTGTATATGTAACGTGTATGATGAATTGTGCACAGCAAGACCAGAGACGTGTGTAATAAAAGCAAATCGAGTCAATTCTGAATTCATGTTGACTCGGCGAGGACCGAGATCACTCTCCTGAGAGGAGCTGGACATTTTGGGCTGTACTGGGGACAGCTGCAGGAGAAAGAGATCCTCTTCCATCCCTGATCCTCACCTGCTGGTATTATGCCGAGAGGAAGTGCTGCTTGGACAGGCGTGAAGATGGAATCTGTGTCCCTCCCAGCGTCCATCTGGGCCCGGAGAAGCAACCCGTGGGCCACCTCAGCTACAGAGCCATCTCCCCCAACACATACCACACTAGAGAGAAAGCAAACGGATGGGCGGTGAGTCATGTGACCCAAAACTCATGGCCAAGGGCTGGCTAACACGCATGTAACAAAAAGGCTGTTGTTCACTCATATGTGGATAAATGTAAATCCATATGGACGATTATTTGATTGAACATACAGATTACACATGGCAAAAATGGCACAGTTATTCCTTAAATATGATTAAAAATTCCTAGCAAGTCTTCATTGGAGGAATCCATTTCAATGAATGGAAACCATAATTCCCATTATGTTGTATTGAACAACAGATTAAACCATGGAAGTGTTGAGGGGCACCATGTATTCTAATTGGGAAATATCCCTTTTTTTTTTTTTCAAGAATAGCAGAAAATCTGTCGGATCTCAGCAGCAAAATAAATCATTATAAACGGCTGAGCCCACTAATCTGCTTTAAGCACATTACTAATAAATGAACACAGCCTAGTAAAGCTGATTACATTTAATTCAGAAATGCCCTTTAGCAATACAGTACAATCTCACAAATAGATTTGTTTAGCAGACACTAGCCAGCACTAATAAGCAAGTAGTCATGCCACTCACAAAATGAGTTCTGTGACCTTGCAGTCGCAGGTGTTTGGGATAAATCTGATTGCAATGTTTTGATCCATATGTTAAGCCTCGAAGGACACTGCAAATCTACCAAATCAGGATAGTAAATATTAAGTGATGCATCAAAGCTCACCTATTCACCTTTGGGTTATTTTATGGAGGAGTGGACGGGACTAGCTGTGTTAAGTCCTTTTATGCTTTTCGCAGGTGGCAGAGACTGTGCCTTATCTTCATTTGTAGAGGTTAAAGCTTCAACCGAGAAGCCTCACCAAACACACGGCGTGCAGAGACAATGCAGAGCTTTATTGGAATGACGGATGGGGTCGAGATGAACAAGCCCCATTCCACATTAGCCAAGGTTCAGTGTTGAAGTTAACTTGTTGCGTGTAAGGCAGTCAACTGATTAAGAATGTTAATCAGATCAATTACACGATATGCTGATTAATTAAATTAAAATGAACTGCATATCAATATTTAAGACAAGCCATTATTGTAACATTATTGTGTCAGATGCATAAAAAATAAGAATTACAAAAAAAGAGGCTTTATACGTCAACATAGTTGTGTTTCATTACCAGTAAATGTAAGCTCATCACTAGTTCACAGTAATTCATTTTTCAGAGTATGCTAATCTGTCCAAGGAAGACTTCACATTGAGTCTGTCATCTCTTTAAATGGTTTGACTATGTAAAGATGCGTTTTTGGTCGTTTTTTTGTCTCGCACTATGAGTGTCAAATTTTAAGATGCTTGTCATCTTGGTAACTTTGAAAATGAAAACTTGTTCTTAGTAACTTTGAAAATGTCTAGATTGCATTTTTGATTTGAAAAAAAAAAACATTAAAGTGGACATTTAATTTCTCAGAAGCAGTGGTGGAAAGAGTACTGAAAAAATATACTCAAGTAAAAGTACCATTACCTTCCAAAAAATGTAGTGCGAGTAGAGTAAAAGTACTTGTCCAAAAAACTACTTGAGTAAGAGTAAAAGAGTAGCCTATTTAAAAGTACTCATGAGTATTGAGTAGTGAGTACTGAGCTGTGGATTCTACCCCCTCATAATAAACCCTGTACACCGCAATTGATACCTTTTTAAAAACGTTGTACATTCTGTAATTCACATTATCTTGTTTGTCATAAAGAATGAAGAATATCTTTCATCCAGCAGTTTTAATTTTGACTGCCAACTCTTTAAAATACATCAAAACAGCACGGAAACAGTATTCAGTTGAAGAAAAGATGAAAGTTATTCTCAGTACAATCATCCCCATTTAAATCATAAAGTTTGAAAAAATAGATTTAAAATCATGTGTAAGGCCACTGAGAGAGCATGCTGTTGCTGCACATAAAATATTAATGTTTAGAACAGTGCAAATACAAACACCATTAGAAACTCATAGTTCAGCATCACACACCATGATATGGGTTAAAATGAGAGCCCATTTCTCTCCAAAACGGTGCCAGTTTGAGCGTTTTGCAATAAAGAAATAAGAATAACTAAACTTGATAATTTGTTACAATTTTAGCAGTTTAACACTGTACGCAATACCCGCAACCTCACACCAAATTTCAGGCCGTGTAGGTAGGCAAGCATATATACAAATCATTTAGCAAGCAGAAATCTGAAAGACTTAATTACTGTAACGTGAGTATTTGTAATTCGTTACTTCACCCCTGCTCAGAAGTAAAAACTCTTATGTAATTCTTTATGCTATTTACTTAAAGGTCAAAGGGCATGATTCATTCTGATCAAATACATGATTAAAAGATTTATTTACATCCTTAGATTCAAGTAATGCACATTATGAAGTCTTTTTTTTTTTTTTTTCAAATAGCAAAGTTAATTTTCACCATAATATCCAAGTTACTGAATGCACATTTCTAATAAGTAATGCATGCTTTATTTATATTTTATTTAACTTATTTACGGATAAATACAACTGAAAACGTCTCTCTTTCCCATGTTAGGAAAAGAAAGGGTATAAATAAGGTGTAAAAGCATTGTAAGCGTTGTTGTAGTATGAGTGGGCATGATGGGTATCGTAGTTTTACAGATTGTCATGGTGATCAGACATGTACAGAATGTGACCGTTTTCTTTCAGCCCACGATTCTCAATTTTCTGCTTAAAAAAAAAAAAAAAAATTGTCAAAAATGTGACATCAGGATTTGTGATGCAATACATTTGTAACACTGCAATAAAAATCAGGAAAAGGCCTTTTCTTAATATGAAAAAAGGTCTATATCTATCAATGCAACAGTACCCTAAGGTACAAAAGCTAGTTTGTACCTTATTTACCACTGAATGGTGCATATTAGCACCCTTTGAAAGTTTTGTATCTTTTTATTCTGAGATCCTATTATAGTTTATTTTAGGCAGGCAAAACATGAGGAAAAATAGGATTTGCAATGTAAAAATGCCTGAAAGCAAACATAATGCTGCCACTTTGAAGTGGCGGGGCAGGCAGAACAGGGAGCCATGGCGGGGCAGGCAGAACAGGGAGCCATGGCGGGGCCCAGGCCACAGCCAAAATAGCGGCCCACGGTGGAGCCGACGGAGGGAGGAGCCATGGAGGAGGAATGTACACAGACTCCAGGGGGCCGACCAACGGCGAAATAAAAGACATGGAAAACATGAACATGAAACAAAACACCACATTACAGAAAGGGAGTATTGGTGAGATCATGGTGAGGAAAAACTAATGCAAAAGTAACGTAACATACTGCTTCCATAAAAGTAACGTTCCCCAACTCTGCATGTCAGTCTAATATTGTGGCACTTATCTCACTTCCCATCTATCAGCAGTCAATGTGATGGCATTAAAAATTGCACAAATATCATCTTTCCATTCAGGGTGCTGATAATTAACATAAATGTGTGAGGGGAATAATTGCATCCATCGCTGATGTGCCAGCACTTTAACGTCTATTGTGTGTGGCACACCGTGTGACTTCATATGAGACGCAACTGAAATGGCACCGTTCCATTTAAACTGGAGGAAGCATCAGTTGCTGAAGTAATTAATGAGTGATGGATCTATTAATGAAAAAATGTGTGATTAGTATTACCTTTGCAGAATTCTTCAGAGGTTAATTAATCGAGTTCAAAGGAATGCAACACATTTCCTCTACAGGGAATAAATGGGATGTGAGGAATTATTCAAGTTCTTTTTTTTTTTTTTCTTTTGCTGAGGTGTTGAAGACGGTGTGTTTTAATGTTTCTTTTTAATAAAACATCCTATGGATTGTTCTTGCCAAGCTGTCAGCTATGTAATGTAAAATCAGGACTAGTATCACCTTGATAAAGCCTGCTGAAGTCTAAAATGTTATATATATATGAAACATTTATAAAATACATTAAAAAAAATTTTTTTTTTTTTTTTTTTTGAGTGAACTATCCCTGTGAAGACCACTTTGCATAGCACATACCGTGCGA